CTCTTACCTTGGCATGATCATACGAGAAATTTGTGATGGAAGTGATACCATCACTTCCACCTTCGGTGAATGAAAGCACTTGTTGCTTTTGTTTGCTTTACTCCCCAATGGCCATCTTTCTTTGGAGGCAAGAAGTCAGGTGTCTCTTGTGCTGAGATGTGGCTCCGGTTGTACTCTTGGTGAAAAGCTCCTTGCAATGGTTGCACTTCACTTTGACCGTCCCATTATCTAGCACTACTTCAGTCATTTCATCCCATATGCTGGATTTCTTCTTCCTTTGCTTTTTCTCAAAAGGACCAGCTCCTCCATCTCCATCTCCTCCTTCATTGCCATCATCTTCTATTATTTCTATTTCTTCTTCACTCATCTCATCAGCTCTTTCTTCGTTGTAATTTAATTGTTCCACGTCTTCATTATTTTGCTCCATCGTAGGACTTGATGATGAACCTTGAAATGAGTTGAATGGAGAGCTGTACATTCCTTAATCAAAAACATTTAATAACCAATACAGATTTTGATTAGCCAAAACAGAAATTTAGAATAACATTTCTAAGAAATAAGGTACAAAAGTAATAAAACAGATTCCAAGAAATAATGCCCACTTACATTCAGATTAATGAAATAACAGAGAAAAAATCTTAAAAACTCTTAAAATGGCAATCCAAACAAGGGACAGTGATGAATTCCAGGGAAATACTGAATCCATAGTTCCAATTAGTTTGTGCATGGGGACAGTGATGAAAGAAAGGACAGTATAGTGGCTTTTCCAATAAATTAAATACAAATAGTGTCATCTGAAGATGGTACACAATTCACATGCACTCCAGTGGTCTGACTATAGTCTATAGCCAACCATCTCGAATGAAACTCAACCAGATCATCAGAAATAGAAAAGCAAAGCAGTTTTTTACTAAACTAAGGAAACAGGAAAAACAAAAGCTGAGCATGGGCAATGAAAGATAATCTGCCTGATTTATTTTCAGAGAGACAAATATTTGCCATAATTCATTTTTCAAATTGAAATGGGAAGTCAGTCTACTTCTTTTGATTGGAAAGCATAGTGAGTAAAATTGCACCTTATTAGGCTCTATATCCAAATTTCAAAGTCCACTTGTCAAATGATCTTTTGAATATTACATTGCAGCAATTAGATACATTTCAAACTACAGAAACCTGTTTGTATTGAAACAACTAGTTACCACTAATTACTTGGACAAAAATGTTTTACGCAATCTTGGTGTGCCTTTTTTGGTCAAACCATAGAAATTGGTTATTGGACAAAGAGGTAGCAAAACAAGTGCATTAATTGGAGCAAATTGTTCAAAATGAAAGTGTTTAATAGAATTTATCACGAGAGAATAGTTTAGTGTTTTGATGAACTTTATAATCATTAACATCTAAGACAAAAGGGTAGACCAAAAGCTTAAATGCATCACCATCCAAAAACAAAGGTATTGTAACACAACTTCTTCTAAGGGTGAACCTGAAAATTTTCAAATTCTCTGCCTAAAGTGCAACTGATCCAAATATAGGGGAGAACAAGAAACTTATTTCAAAAAAAAAAAAAAGAAACTTATTTCCCAATGTATGCCAAACTACAGTACATGCCAATTACATAATAATAGGTTTTGTCTTTCCATTGTGCAACATGTGGAGGGTTTTGGAATTAGTCTAACAAACACCCTTTGGACCTCAATGGATGAGTTTCATGCCATGTCATGTATACGTGTATGCAGAATACAACATCTCACTATGAATTATCTGACAATACCTGTTGTTATCTGGCTGCAACTGCTTAATCTTTGTTTTCTTACAGGCTATATGCAGTGACACTGCTTAAATTTATGTTTAAATCCAAGTGGCACAAATGATCATGCCTAATTATAGACTCCAAAGCTTTAAATGTTTAACTGAAGACTTAATCTGACCCCATCACACCACTGAGTCCCTTACATCTATATTTCAACTTCACTACACCAAAATTTGACTCAGGAAGCCACACAACTCCAAATCAATATTCTCACCTGTACTCTGGGCAAGCAGAATAACAAAATCCAATAAGTGAAGAAGTGTAATATTGAACACTTTTGTGGAAGGAGATATGGTGGACAACAAAGTTGAACCAAAAAGGAACCGCCAAGAGAACTCAGCAATGTTCGATAAAGAGACTAACACTTCTTTAAATTTCTAATACAGATGAATTTTTTTTTCAGAAAACAGAGCATTGGTGATGTACAGAGAAACATGAGTTACATCATTCAGCAAAAGTCAGCAATGGAACACAAAACATTCCACCTCAAACAGGCATTTTACCCCCTAAGATATCAACATTAAGTGTAAGTATGCAGTGAAAAATAAAGAAAGAATCGGGTCACTACTTACCAGAATGGATGGAATCAGGGTATGGTAGAGGCCCCTGGCTCTACCGAGGTGGCTCCGTGTGGTTGCTCCGTATGGTGAGTCAGTGACGGTGGCAAGAATCAGGTGAGCTACTGGCCAAGGAAGGAATTCAGTCGCTTGATTCAGTGGGCTGCTTTTGTCAGGAGGGTGCGGCTGCGGCTGCAGGTGTGGAACGGGAAAACGAAATAGAGGAAATGGGGTGCGGCTATAGAATGGAGGATGGAGGCTGCGGGGTGGGGTGAGAATGGAGGCTGCGGTCAGTGCGGTGAGAATGGAGGATGGCACTTGGCGGTGAGAACTGAGAAGGGAGGCTGCGGGGAAGAGGGGTGAGAATGGAGGCTGGCGGTGAGAATGCAGAAAGGGGAAAAGTAAAAATTAGGAGAATGGAGGCTAGCCGTGAGAATGGAGGCTGCGGGGTGGGGTGAGAATGGAGGCTGCGGTCAGTGCGGTGAGAATGGAGGATGGCGCTTGGCGGTGAGAAGGGAGGCTGCGAGGAATGGGGTGCGGCTGCGGGTGCGGGGCGACGGCTCTGGCCTGTGGGATGGGAAAATGAAATAGAGGAAATGAGGAATTAGGGCTACAGGCTACAGCAGACGGGAGATGACTTAGTGTACGGTGTACCACATACACGCTGAAATGACAAAAATGCCCCTATCGTTCGAGCCTACCGAGCCTATACGAGCCGAGCAGGATCGGCTCGTTAAATAAACGAGTACTCATTAGAGCTCGAGCTCGGCTCGTTTCTCTCTGTTAACGAGCCGAGCCGAGCCCTTATCGAGCCGGGTCGAGCTCGGCTCGCGAGCTGCCCGGTTCGATTAACAGCTCTAATCTTAGTCAAGCACATGTTTTGGATGGTAGTAACATCCCTAAGCTCACCATCCTAGATCTTTTCTATGCAGTAATATTTTCCCTGGCTATTTGGTCTTTCTCTAGTGGGCAGGTACTCTATTCTTCAACATTTTTCGAGGATGGTTCTCCCTCGAGTATGAGTAGCTAGCTTATTCTTAATATCCTCTTTGAACGGCCTCTCATTGATGTTGTTTAATGCCTTCACATCTTCAAATAGCTCTGTACGACTAGTCGCCTTAATGCCATATTTAGCCCAACCAATTCATGCTTAATTAGTACTTGTACTTCATAGTCACTAATGCAAGGAAACTTAATGGTCAAGATTAAACTTAAAACTGTGATACCGCAAAATGTCTTGCTCCAAATCCGCTATAAAAAAGGACGTAACACGTCTCATTTTCAAGATTCCCTAAACATACAAGGTATATTGCTTTAACTCTAAACCTTTAGAAAAATGAAGCAAATTTTAAACCTTGAAACTAATGATATAACATCCAAAGTAAACTTAAGAGAAGCATTTAAACTACTTGTTCTAGTGGCAAACCCACTCGGGGCCCAACCTTTTACGTTATAAAGAAAACTCGATTATTAAGATAAATCACTAAGAAAAGAAACATAATTGCTCTTGAGGTCCTTGAATCCAATAATCACCTCAATCTTCACTTGGGATATCCTTAGTTCGTACTTATCTACTACAAAAATAATTAGTAATGTAGGGTGCGCAAAACAATTCATTCAACAAATACTCCCAACTATCTGTGTGGACCGATATGCATTACATATAACACATTTATCATTAAGTCATTTGTCAATTGTGCACAATCACAACACTCAGATATTGCTTGTAAATTAGAAATAACATCTTTTATATATTTAGTGAGTAATTAAAAGCCAATCGATTTGTAATAGTTGAACAAACCAATCATCATTCTTTAACATTAGGCAAAACTGGGATGAGAGACCAAAATGGTAATGAAGCACATTGCCCCATTTTAAATGTAAAAACAAAAAATGATTGTTTACAAGGTATGAGGACTACTTTGGTGATTTTCCCTTATGACCGTTATGTTTCTCCAATTTTCATTAAGAGTCCTACATTGGTTATATTTGTCGAGATGATGGATTCAAGCGCATTAGTATGTAACTAATAATGCCATGGCCTTGGATTTTAATTTTGTACTTGTGAATTAAAATCATTAAGGAGGATTGATTTATATAGTAATTGGATTAGTAACTAAAGAGTGATCATATATATTTTGTTTGGGACACACCCAGACACAAAAAATATATATATGGATATGTATTAAAGTAAATTATCACCTTGTGGGTATGACCTCCAAAAGTTCACACATTCCGATGGTTTGGTAGATCAATAGATATCTATATAATATGTAAAGTAAAAAACATGTTGTGTGGTGTTAATGCACAATGTTCACTTTTTAGGTTTTTTTTTTTATACCCTCAATTAGGTTAACAAATCCTAAAATTTAATACGATTATCTAACAACTTTACCCACTTTTTTCACAGTTTAAAATCGCTCGTACTTTTAAAGTTATGCATAACAATTTTTTTTAATCCACTTCACTTATAATTTTTTTCTATTATGTTCACTTCTTATACATTTTTAGTACTGCGCTCTTCATAAATTATGTTTTTTGTTTCCTGCTCAGATCTCTTTTCATTTATTACTATGAAAATTGTTTTTACAATCATATATTTAGTTTGGTCGTCAAAAGTTTGCAAAACTAAAAGTTCAGCGGGTAATTGTGCAAATTGCCGAATTAACTTTACATGTTGCTTCTGCTTCCTTTTCTTGGGTAAGATGACGAAGCGGAAACCAAAGTCAGTGAAGAGTTGAGAGCAAAGAAGAGGAAAGAAAGCCATGGACCTACTTGCATTTAACAATCAAACCTATTTTCATTTTCCAATTTCTAAGGTAAAATCTCTGATATCTTTTTCCCTATTACCCCCTTTTCTTGTTCCTGAACTTGTATATGTCCGAGCGGAGTTGGGAAAATGGTTGTGTTTAACTTCTTTAAAGCTCTTTTTAGTTTTTCTAGTTGATCACTCTTTTTATTTTTCAATGAATTTTTGGATGATTTGTGTAGATTATTCCGCCTCGGAGGCAGAGGCAATGTAGTGCGAATGACTTGGTTCTTCTATCTCAATTTTCTAAAGAAGAATGCTTCTCTTCTAACATGAGGTGGAAAGGGCAACCTGTTCATGAAAGGTATCAATTGCACTTAATTATCAGTTTTGTATTTGAAGATTTACCATAGCTATTGCTGTTTTAGAGCAGACCGTTGAGTGCAATTTAGTGGGATTTTGTTCAAATATTTATATTAGTACATGATTAATTTGTTTTGCATTCCAACCCTCTCATTGGACTGCTTGTTGTCCTGAAGCTGTCAAATTTAATTGAAGCTCTGGAAGTTGGGGTTGGTGGGATTCGTGTGATGGTGTGATGGCATGTTGGGATAATAGGATGTGCATAAACCCGAGGCATTTTTGTATTTCTGGAGTTCGAGTATTAGTTTATTATTGATTTCCAAGCTGAATTTAGTTTCTTTCTGGACTTATATTTTCTCGTTGCACGCCTGAGCTTGCCAACCTCTTTTGGTGGTTTAAGATTCTTCTTTCCTAATCAACATCCGTTACTTCAGTAGCCTGAGAATTTAGATGATGCAGATAGTAATTGCAATGCTAGGTCTAAATATTTCTTGTTCCAGGACAAAAATTAAACAACTTCATGCTCTTAGAGTTATATCTTCAGGTACAAAATCTAGCTCTTCTTTTTTCTTATAATTTCGGCTTGAAAATTCAAAGGTTGCATTCTTGGACATATGTTTCCGATTCTTTTCTCCCTGTAGGTTTGGAAGATTCTCAAGCTTCTTCTTCCCAGTTTGAGGAATTTTCTGTAACGCCGTGTAAAACTAACAAAGCTAATGAATTGAAGGTGAGACTGTGATTTCAAAGTATGCATGTTATACTATGGTTTAGTATAGATGTTGTTGCACCAAAAGAATGGTCTTGTATGCCAACTGTTTGCAGAGGATAAATATGGAATTCCAACAAGTTTGAAGTTCAAAATTGCCAAGAAGTACAGGCTTTGAAAAATCTGTTGCATGCAGAGATGTGTTTTCTTTTTGTAGGAGGAATTGATACTGTAAAAATTTGTATACCCTTTTTCCAAGACAATGACCTTAATTTTGAGGAGAGTTATCAACTTAGCAAGACATTGGTTGCAGATAAGCATGGTTGTTGAAGGCAAAAGAACTCAAGCAATTTTTGATGATGTGTTTTCTTCGATGGTTGCTGATGCTCAGCCAATTCCAGGGTTTCGAAGAGTCAAAGGAGGTGGGCTATTCCTGAAGTTATCTCAGCTGTATATTTTACAGAAATGTACTTTTAAGCTGTTGAAGTCAATCAAATGCTTTTTCTATTACTTCTGAGCTCCATGTTTTTCCTTCTGGTGTATTTCATGACTCAACGTCCTCTAGGATATTTTTTTCCCCATATTTTATTGCTGACATGGCTCTTGATTTGTGATTTTCCTCTTTATTTGGTCGTCTGTTGCTGACAACTGGGGTCTATCAGGAAAGACACCAAATGTAAGTTGTGCTTCAATTAAACTTCACAACATTAATACATGGTAGAAGCATCATACATGCATGACTGTCTATGGTACCATCGGATAACATAACTCTGTAAATTTGGATTTACATGTCCAAACATTCAACTTCATTGTTAAAATCAATTTAGTTTTGGTTCATGGCCCTAGAGGTCCAGGTACGTAGTTATTAGCCAACAATGACATAGATGCAGAAATCAAGATCTCACCATTCCCATTTCCACTGTACAGACATGTAACAGATTGATGTGAAAACAGTATTCTTGTCTAAATAAATTTTGCAAATAAAGTCAGATTCCTGCATGGGCATTTAGATTTTGTTTGAGCCAGTAGATACATCTGTTTCTGATGAAAATACCTAGGCTTGTGAATCGCATATTCTTTTCTACCCATTTGGATATAGGTTTTATCTCCATTTTTCGGGACTAAGCTTACCATTCCTGAGAATAAAAGTGGTTTTAGTTCTATCATGAAAAGCACAAGGACAGCTCATTTGAGAGGAAAACTCTCTCTCTCTCTCTCTCTTGGTTCTCGAGAAAGAATGTAAATGCTAAATTTTTTGAAAGATAGATAAATCGCTCTTTCAGGCTATATCTTCATTGCATGAGTAAAAATATGTAATTATATTCTATTTTCAGTTATGTCATAATTTCAGGAGTAGTTTTCAGATTAATGTTTCCAATTTTCTTGCAGATACCCAAAAACATTCTTTTGGAAATTCTTGGGCCAGCAAAAGTTTACAACCAAGTCATTAAAAGAATAATAAGCTCTACCATCTCTGATTATGTGCAGAAGGTAGATCCAATAGGTTCCTTTCCTTCCAATCCATTCCTGACATGTTTTGCTTGGTGCTGGAGAATGCTTGTTTGTTTTTTTTTTCCTTTTTTTATGCTCTTGTGCTAGCTTGTGCTTGGTATTCTTCTCTTGTTTAGTTCCATATTGCTCTTAGTTTGCTTTGAGAGGCTGTACAATTTACATATTGCACTAGCATAAGCTTTCAGAGTATAACAATTGTTCTACATTCAATTTTGGTTTAGATTTAGGGAAGCTTAAATGGGATTAACCTTTTTCTTACTCTTCCCATCATGCCTTGGGGTTATCAAAAACATAGATAACTTTGATTGAGACATTTGATACCAGCTATGGTGAAAAACTGACTTCCAACTATTACTGTTTTAGTATAATAGGGTGATTATCTGGCATTTGGAACCCCAATTACCGTGTAAGGGATATTGGACAAGAATGAGCAATTAGCATCAATTAATGCATCCGAAGAATATAAGACTTGCTTTTCAGAACTATAAAATGCTGCTTCATGTAGTCTCTTTCAGTTTTATCGTTGTATTACACCTATCGATCTGGAAAGGTTTCACGACTCTCATGAGCTAAGCTATTGAGTTGATGGTTACAGTTTTACTGCATTTTAACATTCTGAAATCAGAGGGCAACTTGTCAGTCTTTGAGGTATTAAGTGTTTATCATCCTTTCCACAAATCTCTATTTTAACCAAATTCAATTTTCTACTTGCCTCTTATGCTAAGGGAGTCACTACCTCTTGTTAATCCCTCTTTCATTAGGATTATTCTTGAATCTATAAGATGCCACGATGTTAGCTACTTATATCCTTCTAGAAGCATATCCAAGTGGTCTCTTGTACACTTGAAGACCAAGAATTTGTCTTCGTCTAGCAAGCTGGCTTACATCCAAAAAGCGGTTGCATGACAAAGATATTTTGTATGTGCTTTTCCATATAATTCAGATTTACCCTAAACATGTATTAGGTGGAACCTTCTGCCATTTTCTTACTCTCAATAGTTACAATCTTACGATCATCATAACCTTTTCTTTGAAAATGGATATAGCTATATTTATGGCGAGGCATCATAACCTTTTCATCTTTTCTGTTCATCCTCTTCATCTGTTCATCTTTAAGTGACTAGAATATGAGCTAAAATTGTGTTATTCGTCAATGCATATACATACTGCAGGAAGGTTTGTCAGTTGGTAAAGATTTGCGAGTGCAACAAAGTTTTGAAGATCTTGAAGCAACATTTGAACCTGGTGATCAGTTCAAATTTGAGGCCATCCTTCAGTGTCAAGATTGAAGTTTTACAAATAAGCTTTTTGGTATTTTATTGTTGTTTAGAACTTAGCTTAGCTTAGTTATGGCATAGTGTTTTGTAAAGCATGATGTTAAAATTTTTTGCTTCCCAGTTCTATTTGGAAGTATGATTGTGGGAGATATAGTTCATATTTGATTCAACTTCTAATTGTACATTATCCCACCGGGTTGCCCAATTACAGTTTGTCATTCCAAAGTTTCAAGAGGGTGAGACATATTTCTGATATCTGTACTCCAGCCATAATTGTGCTTCAGCCATTTGTACACAATGCCAAGGTGAGAAAATTTTCCATTAATTGTTATGGCAGTTTCATAAAGCGTGCGAGAACTTAAAAGGGTCCTGTAATGAGATAAGTAGTAGAAGAACAAGATTATTGTAAATATGCCACAACCATGACGAGAGAATTGTACATTCCAACGCGCATAAGATTTCCCTGTTTTCGTCTTCCAACCACTCACTTGACAAACTTTACGACTAAAAAACTGTTAGTCAAACAACAACAAAAAACAGAGGTTATCAGAAGTGCCGAAATTTAAACAACTTTATGGCAATTCTTTAGCAACGCAACAGCATAAATGACACTGAGTAGACAATACTTTCTTCAGAAGAGGATCAAATTGGGACAAAGGGTAACAGCTTGTTTCCTGTTAGAATATGATCAATCTCAACGTAAGAAATTTGGTGACTCTTCTTGGACCAATGGCAATTGGGATAGCTGCTCTTTTGACATTACAAAATGATTCAAGCTCGAACCTTTTGCTCAAGAGTTCGACAAGCACAAGCTTGAACTCGAGTGGATACATTTAAGTCGAGCTAGAGCTAGAGCTTGAAGATGTTATTATTCAAGTTTTAACTTGGTTTGATTACACCAGCATACACAATTTCCTTCCTTCGAGAATTTCAAGCAAAAGCAGAAAAAGGGTGTGTTTACTGTCCTTTATTCCTGCCAAAGTGGAACAATTGATGAAAATAGTGCGGATAAAGCCCTGGTGACAAAAAAGGGCACCTTTACCATTACAAAGTTAGCATTTCCCCTCATATGCTCAAAATTAGAATGCCTTTCAAGTAGGGTGAATCCTCGTTGTCTTCTCAGTACTAGACATGGAGGACCAACCTTCCTTACTTAAGCAGGATGTGATTGATAATTATACACCATGTGATGTACCTTGACCATATAATACTGTTCTGTCCCCAGTGTTTTAAGGTGGCTAAAATTTCTTTAAAATTTCGTTTATGTGTATTTAGTGAGCAACTAGACATTCAAAAATCAAGCATGTACTAATAAACCCATTCCATTTTATATTATTGTTTCAAAATAAAATCAAATCTCACAGAAAAATATTGATCAATCAACTCATATGATGGTAAGACTCTAATCTTGACGGACCATCAAGCTTAAACTGGACATAGATGCAAGGGCGGCCTTAAAGAATACAAGAAAATGCGATGCAATGTTTCTTGTGAGAAGGCGTGGAGCAGCCTACTTCTTGTCATGTAACCGAAAAAAGAAGAACAAATAGACAACACAATGGATAGAGAAGAAAGTGGTTACTTCAATGAAAGAATTTGACCACATCGGAGTTTCTCTCCAAGGCTATTGGCTAGATGTTTCGGTTGTCAATATTTCAAGCTCTAGTGTAGCACTAAATCCAAATTCTTTTCCAGGAACAAACGATGATCTGAGTTCTTCAGCTGTCTGTATAGTGTTAATCTTGTTGCCCTTCACTGTTAGATTTTCCTGCAGGATTAACAGGAGTAAGAAGTTCAGGGGAAAATTTTCATCTGTAACTGAATGAATTTCCAGAATTTACTTGCCTTCTTTGTGTAGTCAGCCAAGGTTGAGCTAACAATTTCCTGTATGACAAAGTTGGTAACACGTTCTTCACCGAGCATTTGAAGTAGAAAATCTTTTGGGACCTGCAAGTATTCCCCATAAAACAAAGAAGAAAAGTAGACAAGTAAAATGTGATGGAGATTATAATCTATTTTAAATTTGTCTAAGCTACACGGTTAGTTCAACATAGAAGAGCAAAGAGACAAAGGATGGTCAGGTATGAGGACCGACAAAAATCATTAGCTGCTAATAATGAGGCTCGCTTAAATTATATAAGTGATTTTCCATCAAATGGCATAGTGTTTGAGAAAAAAAGTTCACATATGTATGGGAAAAGAAAAAAGACTCCTTGTAATCCACTTATACCATAAAATTGGGCACACACATTTGCATCATTTTGGATTTCAACATTATTAAGTTTGTAACTGGAAGCAACAATAGAGCACCAAGGAATTACAAAGACTCACTATACACCGAACAATTTAACAAGATTTATATGAACTAAAACTAATAGACATCCAAAATGCATCGAGCACCCTGATCCTGAGTAATGTTTGCTAGATCATGGGATTCTCATACAACCATATGAAAAGCATTTAGTTCCAACATATATTAATCTGCATAGGAAGTACTTTCGAGTTTAGACTCATAAATTCCTCTCTTCACTATGTCCTCAAATATAGTAAAGATAGTATTTTCGTTTTTTTTATTTTCTCTAAACAACTGAAAAGCTCTCTGTTATTTGAAAAAGCTTTTATTTTTGATAATGGTATATCCCTGAATAACCCTTCTATTTCACTGTTAACTGAGGTTACTAACAAATTGATTCAATAAGAACTTTACACCCATGAATAGAATCAGCAAACACAAATTGTTGATGGCTTGCTGCCTAACTCAGGTCATAGCATATCTCCAACTCCAAGAAACTGGCATTGGCTTTAGTAACAGGTCTCTCAAATTACAATTTAGCACCCGAAGGTCCGGGAAACAGGAGTTAGACAACCATTATAGATTGTTTCTGAAATTATATGGAGATCTAGTGATATAAAACATTCTTAATCATATCCTAAAGTTTCACATTATGAAGCCTACAGCTTCCCATATCACAATTTAGCGACTGAGACGAGGAGCGAGGCATCTATTAATGTGTATTTCTCACATGAAATGGAAACCTAGTGAATGAATTAATCCCATGTAGCTCAAATTATAATTAATGATTCATGACTTTTCAAGATGCATGAATCCTGATAGCAGGCTATGATGTAATAAGTAAGAACGAGAACACAGGAAAAGGACATGTACAATTGTGTGAATGAAATAGAACCTAGCAGCAAAAAGGGTAGTTTCTTTGTAGCTTATGACATCAAGACACTGTTTATGCCATTCAACCACATCGTAGCTCTTCAAACAGTATAAATACTTGCATATGAATTATAGATTTTGAAAGGAAAATACATTCTGACAATCTCCACATTCTGCTGGAGCAACAGATTTAAGAGGAGGTCCTACAGTATGTAACTTCATCATCGAAAAGCAAGACAGAAGAGAAAACATTGCACCTGAGAAACTTCTTCATAGAGTATAATGAAGTCATAGGGATATTTACCTTTGATGTTTTCCCTGAAAGGACCACCATGCACATGCAAAATAGAAAGTTAGAACAATGTGAATAAAAGAGTCATAGGTTGAACATGCAGAGCTAATAGTTTATTTTTGAGCATAAGCTTAATCATTTTGGTGATATAGTAGAGAGTTATAATCTGAATCTAGTATCACAGTTCCCTAGTTAAATCCTTTTTGCCAGAACAGTGGTCTTCCTTTAGATTTAAATTGCTTTTCCATATTATCCATGATTTTGCTAGTGCAGTTTCTGGATAATGTTCCAGCATTTGCCTCAGTAGGAACATGAAATCGACAATAGAAGCCAGAAGCACAACAATGTCAAAGTTGGACACATATGGATATCAGTCTGCAGCTCAAGGCACCAGTGCCTCTTCTCTATTGCTTGTGAAATTTGGAAACAGAATCCGAAGCCAAAAAGACCTCTCCACTTTCCAGCCATTCTTTACCCGAAAAAGCTAGAAGGAGTCAACACTTTCTGAATCCAAAGCTAAAACCAGCTGCACAAAACTAGGGCTGGCATATGGTCGGGTCAATCAGGTTTGAATGGGTTTGCAAATAAATGGGCATAGGCATAAAACTGTCCAAACCCTTCTTTTTGATGACATAAAATAGGTAGAATTCAAATGGAACTGGAATTTATGGTGGTCCATGGGTGCAAACTTGAATATATCATGTTCTTTTCCTCATTTTATTGTTCTTTAATTTTTTTTCAATATCTCTTCTTATTCTTTTATTTTTTTTATTTATTTTTTTCTACTCCTCAAGAAAGATAGCACGTGTAGAATCACTGCCAACAACTGGCCAGATTCCACAACAATTAATCAATTGCAGTGGTCTGCCAGCAGCAAGTGGTGGTGCAGTAGTTTAGAAACAAATATAAGAAGAAAAAGGAATACGAATAATTATTTAATACAAAAATAAAATGAGGAAAAAAGTTATGGTCCTGATGGGTTCCTCGGGAAGCTCATACCAGCTCAATGTTTGAGTCAAACAAAGAATTAGCCAAATCCTTAAGAAACCATGCCCAAACTACCCATGTCTAATGAAGGCAGGCTTCGGTGGGCAGCACATGGGCATGGATTCATTTTGCTAGCCCTATTTAAGAACTGAGAACAGGCCCATAATGGATTTGAGATACCTCCACTTTCAATTGAGATACGCCACTACAACTAGAAATAATAGCACTGAGGTCAAATGGTGTAACAGAAACTTGGCCATCACCAGTCATGCGGCCTCAATAGACCCATGAAAACCATGCTTTCAAATTTACTGCCTAGGTACTAAGGCCGGAAACCGATTATGACGCAAGCTGAAATCTCGATGTGTACCATGGCCTTTTAGATAATGCAAATTTAAAATGAGAAAAGCAAGAGCTATGAAATTGTGTATTTCTAAAGAGGGTATTGCACTTATTCTTTGCTACCACGTGACCCTATTGCTCTAAACAGCAGAACAAAAAAGAAAAAGGAGAAACAACAAACTGATTGATTACTAGGTAATTATGCATGGATATAACCAGTTCTGTGGTCACTGTAATGACTGTGGATTAAATTTTAGATCCTTCCTAGAATGTGCAAGCTTTTAATTCATGTGGTATTGGACTAAAATCGGACAGAAAATATAGAATATCAGAACTCTTATGGTTCAATTTCTCGATCAACTATAATGAATAACTTTCTTTCAAATGCAATGACATGATCACCTCCCTTCTGTCTGCGAAATCCAGGAACAGGTGGAGCTGCACGGGCCAAATTAGTTAAAAC